CCGGTAGAGACGGGCCACGAGAAACCCTGCCCAGTCATATGACGAAACATAAGACCGGTTCCGTCCCGGTTCCTCCCCCACGAAGCTCTGAGGGATGGCGGCAAAGACCTTGTTAAATTGGCCTAGAGCCATCGTCGCATTTTCATACATGGTTCCCGACGTGGTTTCGGTACCAGGAATTGGGTCTATGTCGGATATCTGACCCCGTCGGTCAAAGGTCACGGAGAAATTTTGAAGTTGCACATGTGGTTCACATTGGAGGGCAATGGTGTTGTCATCGGTGAAAGGTGACTCCGAGGTATAATTCCACCGTCCAACCACCAGCACCGTCGACATCTGACACAAATCGGTGTCCGTGTCCGCCACCGGAGAAAGAAAGTGGATGGAGAGGGCAATGGCGTCGCTGGGGCGTACTAGCGACGTCATGTTAACCCTACATTGCCGGCTGACATCACGGGACGGTCGATAGACAAAAAAGGTATCCTGGCCGTCTTCTCTCAAGTTCTGGGATGTCTCCAAGGTTTTGCAGTCCAGATCACTACCGATTCCGAGCGTGGTCGCCCCGTACATCAGGTCAGGGTCCGAGTCGGTGTTCTTGATCGGAGCAAATGAATAGTTCGCAGACATCCATGGCAATAACGGTACACCGCTAGTGGCGCTGTTCTGGATCAGATCGAACTCCGTGAAGTCCGGAGCGAAGTCTGTCCGTAGGAAATGAGAGTTGCTGTAATTGACGTAAAGAGATGTTGACGGCAGATAGGACTCCGTCAGTCTCTGCGTGAACAGACCACCGGCAACAACAGTCAGCAGGATGTTGGCGATGCAGGCAAGTGAGACGAGGCTTAGAAGGGTATGTCGATTCCGGACGGCTTTTCTTAAGATCGACCAAGGATTTTGTGACGCATAATTCATGGACAGCGACGTTTGAGCCGCCACCATGCCGCGCTGAAGGTGGACCCACGGCTCCAGAATGCTGATGTTGCGAAGGATCGAGTTGCATAGAGCCGCCACGGAAGATGCGACAACAGATGGGAGAAAGGAAGTTATGGCCTGCAGTAAACTGGAACTGGACTGGGACAGATGTTGAAAACTCCCGTCGTGGGCAAGAGTAGCTGCCGTCACTCCCATCACAGCGATGACGGCAGCGAGGAGAAGAAATTCGATGATGAAAATGGGTATTACCAGAAAATGGGGCATTGGGTCGACACGTGTCCGTAGTTGCTCACTGAGAGTGACCGGGGAACCTGCTCTAGTTAGCTTGAATTCCACAGAGCTTGGAGTATATGGACTGACCGTCTGCAGTTATGATCTCGAGTCGGGGTCCCGTTGGTCCCTGTTGCCATCGAAGCCAACAGTTTCGCAAGACTTGACGTAGCTGCCGTGTCGAGAATTGGTGAAATTCGGGCTGAGGATTCGCAAGGATGTTGTAAGGTGTGAAGACATCAGTCAACATGCTACACATGGCACCAATAGAGCTCGGGTCACTCTGCAGGATGTTGGGGCGTGTTCCGTAAAAGTAGAGGAGAGATATGGTGAGACAAATGGCGATCGCCAAGATCACCTCAGAAAACATTGAGGCGAACGACACTACTGCGATGGCGACTTGCGTGGACTCCCGTTGGGCCGGTGCATTGGTCGGATCCTGGTCGGGGTTAAAGAGCCGACTCATTGTAAGCACGAACGTCTCCGCTACACTTCGTTTGACCTTGCTCTCGAATTCGTCCGTCGTCATGACGGTCGATGCATCCAACACAAGAAGCGGCTCGAGGTCGCCCAGGTCCTGGCTAATCACAGGCAGCTCTGTGACTGTAGTATCACCGGTGGTCTCATTCAATTCGATAAACAACATGTCGCCCGTATATGGTGCTCGCTGGGCCAGGAGATCCTGGAAAGCGTCGATGTTGAGCTGGTCTGTTCCCAACTCCCGTTCGGTATCGGGGTATCCATAGATGTTTGTAATTGAGCTGTTAGCATGCATGGAGACTTTGGCCTCCGCCTGTCGATATTCTACCTTGCAGCCAAAGATGCCGGCAGATGAAGTGAACTCGGAGCCCAACTGACTGATGCTATTAGCTCCAGCCACCGTGGCATTGACCGAGATGACGACTCCATATAAATCATAGGGATCATCGCAGCCACGAGTGGTAAAGGACTTCCTACGGCTGTAGACAGGTTGCGACTGATTGTTCCACACAGGCTCCCAGTACCGAACCTGCAAGTAATCGGTTGTCGGAAAGAAAATATTGCTATAGTGAAAGTCCAATGTGCATGTCTCGTTCGTCCCGGGGATATCCTGCAGCTGCACGCCCGTTACGTCCCACGAAAGAATGGGTGGATCGCTCGATGTGTCATTGATAGAGACAGATAGGTGGTCATGTGCTACAATGTTGCGACACTCCATTTGTGACCAGTAGATAGTTTGATTGAGCGTCCAAACCGTACTTTCCCGCCGGTCTTCCATGCTGATTTCGACAGGTGCTACTGCGTAGCTGGAGGACTGAGAGCTATGCAGGTTGTCACGAGCAGTAAGGACGGAGTCCAGAGCCAGGGTGTCATTGCTTTTCTGCGCCTTGATCCATACAGCCTGGGTATGTAGGTCCAGCAGCTGGGGCCAAGTCTTGATGTTCTCGCTGTTCACGACGGTGATTTCACGGAGTTCGAGAAGTGTGCTCTGCAGAGCCGGGAGGAGCACGCGGATGAGCAGGGTAGCGACAGACACGAGCAATACGACCCAATGGCCTCGTTTGGCTGAGGTGAGTGGCGTAAGAAAGGACTGACCGAAGTTGTAGTTGATGAAGAGAACCGATGCCGGCGCTCCCTCCGGGCGAGAAATCTGGAAGTATGGCTCGAGGCGAAGTACATCATAATCGATGAAGGTCCACAGGGTGACAAGAATGAGGGCAGCAATGATGGGAAGATAGTTGTAGGCGAACGACTGGGCGTTAGACACGGTATCGGTGTCGGGAAAAAAGTATAGACCTCCATACTGATCGCTATACCGGCGAAGTATCTCGAGCGTGATCAGCATCGCAAACATGATCGCCGCAATCCAACAGAGGTATGCGGGACGCAGGGCAACGGGCCGCCATCCCCCCGAAGCAGTAGGTTTTCCATTATGCAGGCTGGCGCGGATGAGGCCAAGATGCTCTAAAGGCATGAAACTGAGTCAGTCCGGCTGGAAGACGTGTAGATAGCCAGTAGAGGAGCATGCGATGGGCAGGGTTAGACTTACGGGAGATATACAGCCGGACATCGGACAGACTCGTTTCCAGGCCTCCGAACATGCTTGAGGGGCATGCTCCTTTGGGGGCAAACGGCGGTGTCGGAGGCGGACCAGATGCTGTGTCATCGCCCAAGGGATGGCTCATGGAGGGAAATCGACGGGGCCACGGAACGGGTTCATCTCTGGAGATGGGTGATGCGACAGACAAACGGAAAGGACATGGTGGAAGCTGCCGATAACCTTCCTAGCGACGTGACGAACGTGATGTAGGGGATTGAGAGGGGGGAAGCGAAAAGGAAGAAGGAGGAGGAGGGGGAGGAGAAGCAGGCGGAGTGAGGAAAGAGAGGAACGGCGAGAAGAGGCCGCGAGGATGACGATCGACGTTTGAATCTCGCCGGCAATTCTTGATTTGCGTAGTCGGTGGGGGTCACGGGCTGCGGCAGGGGGGGAGGGACTTAGTACTAAGTAACACTAAGTTGGCTGTTCACTGAACGAATGTTTGCCGTTTTGCCCGTTTAGGCTGGTGACTCCCCACCCATTGGCCCATCACAGACCGCACAACAGTCGTCCTTCCCCCAATCAGCATCTGACAGGGTCTGAAATGTAGACTCCATTGGTTCGTCAGGGACCGCTGAGTGGGGCCAGACTCTGGGCAAGGGCTCAGGCACTAAGCCAAATCGGCTAGGCATCGACCACCGTCTGGGCCAATCTGGCGAATAGCGGGCCAGTCAGGGCACCTCTTCGGGACTAGCGAGCGCAGGGTTCCCGATGTAGGGTCTTGGGGGCTTTGTTGAGAGTGGGCAAAAGTGGGCTGACCGCACCACGCTGCAAACCCACAATGGAAGGGAAGAATTCGGCTTTGACTGTCTGGACTCGGGCCTAAATATCCACTTTCTGGTTCTGGGGGTCCACTTGAACCCTTCATGGAAATAGTCACGTGAGGAACAAGGAACTGGTATCGAAAAAAGACACAACGCATCAAATTCCTCGGTATGACGGTATCTGTCTTTGTCAAGTCAGTATTGTTACATGCTATCTAAAGATAACCACTACGATAATAACAAGCAACAATCAGATTATTGGAGGCGCCTCCACGATATTCGTCTCCTAGCACTGCGAGGTATATATAGATATCGGTGCTAAGGACTGGTAGTTCCATATGATCCTCAATTTTTCAGCATTTCGAAATCTGTTGAAGTAGTTAGCAGTACTCATCAAGGTAACTTAATATATAACCTAAAACAGGCGAACTCCTACAGCTCATCTCGCCTCTACCTGTATTATCGCCACTGTAATGGCCGATAAGAAGCAATGTACCGAGAAGATAAAGCGTCCTCATCAAAGACAAAATCTGCTAATATGGGAACTACCGAGGACTTAAAAGCAACAACAATTGCTAGAAGCTGACTGAAGTATAGTACTAAATTAGTCATACGTAATTTCTTTGTTCTATCCAAGCACTAAGAAGCCATTGTTGGGTGACGAGAAACAAACCCCGTCTTCTATAGAGAACCAACTTATATTATCCCATATAAAGGAGATATCCGTGAAATGAACCACATTATACATTGTCTGATAGCTTATACTTATCAAGTGAGACACAATCCCTTGGTGTCATCCGTAACTAAGACAGTTGGTGTTGAGCCTATATATGTACTCCTTGAAGAATAATTCCTGCTCTTTATTAAAAGCACTCGCATGCATCCTCACTAATCAGTTCATCTATATCTAACTGTTAAGTAGCATCTCGCACAGAATATAGAGATGCTGCCACAAAATGTTATCAATTTATTTTCTAATGCTCGAAATTTGCCAGATTATCCTTGGATACCTTGATGTCGACTCTCTACTCTCTGCCATTCGCAGCTGTCGGCCATTCTGTCTGGCTTACGAGGGGTATGAGGCATCTGTGTTGAGATCATGTCTGTATACTACCATCACGCCCGAGATACTACCATATGCCATACTCACCCTAGATACCGCAAAATCCCCGCACGGGGATGTGATTGAATACCACAAGCTAATTAGAAAGCGACTGGGGAATCCCACGGAGACGCTCCGCAAATGGAGTTGGGAACTATGTGAAATGAAGGAATTACTCTTCGTCCACAGACATCTCTCCTTTTTCATAGACGATTACAGCAAGAAGGCGCTGGAAGAGTTCCACAACTCGTTCGGAGGGACAGAGGTTTGCGTTCCCTTATCACGAACTGAATGGGTCCGCATAGCCCGATCCTTCTACGCTCATCTGGTTATACGGCAAGCATGCCTGAATTGCTTTGTTAGGCTGAAGCCCTATGAGTATTACAGTGGAAGCTGTACTTTCGATTCCCTGGTGACGTCTGTGGCTGAGAAGCTATCGTTAAACTGCATTGACCTGGAGCAGCTCTACATCGTGAGCGCTTATTTTGGTGACATCAAATGTAAGTTGCGCACTCCTAGCGGTATCGGCTTGGACTCTAAATGGTTGTTAGTTACTAAGGGTCCGATTCGAAAATTCTCCCACCTTTGATATCTTCGATATTATAATGAGGTGGCCAGTCAGTGGTCAAAGAAGCATGTGAGACACGCTACGGTATGCTCCCTTATTTCACTTCTTTGCTCTTACCTGGTCTGATGTATTTTCGGCTCTTCTAGGATTGTCATCAAGCTTCCATGCTGTTACTGGCTCACCGAGCACTCGATCCAAGTTACTCACACGTGTACCTACCAGTTACGGAGGGCGTACTCCCGATAACATGGAGTTTCTGCAATACAAACATGGAGAAAGGAATTGCCGGTATTTTCCGTGAGCGCGGTCGCTCTCCAGTACCTAACCCCAATCTGGCACAGGCGTGCCTTTCTAGTTTAAGCGTTCGAACATGCCGTGCGGCGTTTAGGGAGGATCTCGGAACATATAAGTATGGGATAGTAATGTGGGATAAGGATAGGATGCTCAACTCGAGGCTCAAGGATATTTATCGGACAGATTGCAGCGTGCCTCTAATGTTCTATATATATGAGTCTATGATGGCGTCTCCTGCGGAGCAAAACAATAGCGGTTACTTGAACGAGACCCCAGGGATTTCGACGATACTACTGGAAGAGAAAGAGAGAGAGAACAAGACTACTCCGTTCTTCAATGACTCCCCTCAACAACCGGAACGTCAAGCTGTCTCACGGGCAGTATCGCCTGACCTCATGTCATGGTGCTCAGATGAATTGCGCGCAGTGAAAAAGGAAAAGGCAATGAGGAGTGACTTTTCAATTGGTGCTCATCATCCCGGGACAAGCTGGGGTAACCCGCTTGGACCGGTGTCGAGTTGGAAGCCTTATTCTCGGGTTTGCCGGTGGGAGAAGTGATATAGTTTAGACCAGCAATCTGTCCTTGCATTTATTACCCTCATGCTTGTTACTTGTTCACTCAAAGTATTGTATTTTCTTATGCATTGGTACTTTGGAATCTTGACCGTGTTTTTTTGGACATCTTATTACTTTAACCTGTGGAGCACCTGCAAAGTTAGTACCACCGTGATAGAATATATCAGTAGCGGTTGGTATGGAAATGATGTTGATTTACCAATTCTTACACATAGCGTAGTATGTAGACGCTGACATTTGTTTAATACAATAACAATAGTGAAAAACTTCAAGGGGTAGCTGGTCAGGCCCAGAATAGGTAGGAGTCAAACCTTCTACGAAACATTTTCAGGTTACTATGTCCATTGAGGTCAGGGACCCACTTCACATGATCTGAACAGTCAGTGCAGCACCTGAGATGTGGCTTTTGCATGTGGCACAGCCATATTATGGACCCGGTCAGGATGCCATGAAAGAGCACAGACCCCAGAACAAGGCATTGAGTGGCTATGCTCAGCTGAAACGTGTACGCTAAAATCAGCCAAGGTCTTGTCATACACTCCGGAACGACCATTGAACAGTCTCGGCTACAGCAATGTCCTGTCGTTGGGCACTCGTCCAAACAGACTTGTGCAGTACTCCACAGTGGATGGAGAATTCCCGGAGGCCCCGGAAATTCGGCGAATCTTGGCCACGCTCTGTCAACCCAGTTGCCGCTGATCATGGCCGAGTGGAGCCAACGGCGACTAGCATCAAATCTAGGATAGACCTACATATGTCAGGCTACTGTTCCGTGGTAAGGAACTCGCGACAAATGTCACCCCAGACGTCCAATTCATATCTAAACACCATGTCCATGGATGTGCTGGTCATGCTACCGAGGAAAGACGCTATATCAAAACACCCTTGGCAGGGCTGACAGCAGCGCGACCGCCGTCAAATCACGATGCGCGATAAGCGCTACGACGCATGACCCATGACTTGGCTGACGCAACCCCGCATTATGCATCTGTCCTTGATTTGTTGCTGATATAAACGCCGAGTCGAGCCTTTAGGCAGCATACAAACTATGTGCGGGGTCAACAATGTGCCTGGGGTATGATAAGGCTCGTATGAAGGTGAAGTCGCATCCATCGTGACATTGCCGGGCTCGGCAGATATGCGTATTGGCGCTGTAGATTACTACCAACGGTTCCAAGGTTCAGGCACCGGACCATGTTCTGAAAAAGGGGAAAATGGTAGATTAGAGTTTGAACACAACGCCGAATCTTGGATTCGAAGAAGCCCGTTGTTCCTATTGGTTGTCCGAACAATGCGATCTTTTCATCCTCTGTTGTTCCAATGGTTTCATTCCAGGGCGGTGCGGTGATTGGGCGTTATGCTGAGTCAGAAGCCAGGGGCTTTTATTTTTCCCATGCAAGATCTGTTTTGCCTCTGGGACTTCCCGAGAGAACCGGAGAGATTTTGAGTACCTGAACTTAGTAATGAGGTGAACGTGGAGATTTGATCCTCGATCGTTTGCTCAAATTTGGCAAGTGGCAATCCAGTAGCGCCGATGTATCTCCATTCCCGCCAAACGGAGCATTCATGCACCACTAATGTGCCAAGCGGACGTCGGTGGATCACAGTTGTCTCATGTCCTCCTACCTCTGGGCGGCGGCCCATCCATCACAGTCTATAGGGCTGCCATGGCCCTTATGCCTGCATTTGTGGGCCGACGAGCCATGGCGGCGTCCAGAGAATTGCGCTGTTCAAACTTTGGATCAAAATGCTGGCCGGCATTCCATGCATCTGTCTTTGCCTCCGGCAGTTGGTGGGCCGTGAGCAGGATGAAAATATAAATATTCTTGCTTCCTGTCTTTTCCGGCTGTCGCAGGTTCTGAAGTTCACCTTGACAATTTGTAGTCCCCACTAACGCCAACATGTATGGGACTCTTGCCTATCTCTCTTTTTTCCTGACTTGCTCTCTTGCAAGAAGCGTCGGTGATGTACACCAACACGCTGCTCGAACGACCACACAGTATGCTCAGAAGCAGCCGCCGTTGGACACTCCTTGGACAGAGGATGTCGGGACAAACCCGTGGCCCGAGTACCCCCGTCCACAGATGGCGAGGAGTCAGTGGCAGAATCTGAATGGTATCTGGCAGTATCAGAGTGCTTCCAGCCTGAATGACAGCCAATACCCGCCCTTCGGTCAAGATCTCGCTCAAGAGGTCCTGATCCCTTCGTGCCTCGAAAGTGGACTCTCTGGTAAGTATATCTTGCCTTTGAAAGCCACAGCTGTGCTAATCCCAGACAGGCATTCAAGGAACAAACACGCTCTATTCTTGGTTCAGGACCAACTTCACAGTTCCGAGTTCCTGGGGTGGAGAGAGCATTCTCCTCAACTTCGGAGCTGTAGACTATGAAGCTACCGTCTTTATCAACGGAAAGCAGGCGGGTTTCAACCGCGGTGGTTACTTTGAATTTACCGTCGACATTACCCAATATGTTGACACATCGGCGTCTAACGAAATGTTAGTATTGAGTAGCAATCATACGAAAAATTTAGGCTGACCGCAACAGGCTTGTTTTCGTGCATGACCCGACCGATAGCGATGGCTATGTCATCCCTATCGGCAAGCAGCGATTAATCCCGTCGCATATCTTCTACACTCCCTGCAGTGGTATTTGGCAGAGCGTCTGGATCGAAACTGCCCCGGCAAACTATGTGACGCAACTTGATCTTACCGCTGACATGAACGGCCAAGGTGTGTACTTTTCCCATGTTTTGCCTGCTTGATTTTTGCCGTTAACAGAACAATGTAGTCAATGCCACCGTGCACAGTTTCACGGGCAATGGCACGACAGTGAACATCTCCGTGTTAGATGGCGACGACGTGGTCGGTTCTGCCAGCGGCTTATCCGATCAGCCTCTCTTGTTCAACGTTTCCGATCCCAAGCTTTGGTCTCCGGACTCGCCCAATCTGTACAACGTGACAGTCACCATGGGACAAGATAAGATCTCAAGTTACACTGGCTTCCGTACAATCTCGAAGGGTACTGTGGATGGTGTTGTCCGGCCTCTGTTGAACGGAAACTTCAGCTTCATCTTTGGTACACTTGATCAGGGATACTGGCCAGACGGACTCTACACTCCACCAAACCGTGAGGCGATGGTCTATGACTTGAAGTTCCTCAAAGACATGGGCTTCAATATGGTCCGCAAGCATGTAAGTAGAGCAACCGCGCGATTCCGAGCAAGGCTAATTATGTTCCAGATCAAAGTTGAGCCAGCGCTCTGGTACCGTGCATGTGACGAAATGGGTCTTTTGGTTATCCAGGATATGCCATCTCTTCGGCCGCTGGAGACCACAGTTGACGCCAACGGCGTGTCTGTAACCATTTTGCCCGACGCCGACCAGCAAAATGAATTTGGAAGGCAACTGGAGGTGCTGGTCAATCAGCTCAAGAGCTATCCTAGTATTTTTGCCTGGGTGAGTTAATACTCGAATGAGTTGCGCCGTTCACGACTGACCTTTTTGCCTGCATAGGTGATTTATAACGAAGGATGGGGCCAGATCACCAGCTACTATCCAGAGTTCAACCTGACGTCGATTGTGAAGCAGCTTGACCCCACTCGACTGGTTGATGCGACATCTGGCTGGCACGACCACGGCGCCGGCGACTTTAGCGTAAGCCACACCCGCAGTGATCTCGAGACTCTAGATTAACCAATTCAGGATAACCACCATTATGCAAACCCCCAGTGCGGCACCCCGTTCTATTCTATCGACTCCAGCCCGTATGACTCGAACCGGATTGGCATCCAAGGAGAGTTTGGAGGACTTGGGAACAACGTTTCGATCGAGCAGTAAGTTGATATGGCTCTAGTTGCAAGGATGAGACTAATCAGCCACAGCCTCTGGAACAACCAAGAAGCGATCAACAGTATCAACGAGACATATGAGATTGACACCGACGTGGATGCTTGGAACTACCGCAGCCACCTTTTGCTGTCCGAGCTGCAGGATCAGGTCCGCTTGTATGCCTGCAGTGTTGGGGTGTGGACTCAAACGGTTGATGTTGAGGGTGAGGTGAATGGATTGATGACATACGATCGGCGCGTCATGCGGGTGAACGAGACTCAGTGGAAGGATGATATCCAGGGTCTGTATGATGCGGCGTCCAAGAGGACCAACTCTTCGTCGACGAATTGATGATCTTTTTGTTTGAAAATCGCATGGTTGGGTATATTGTTTGATATCCATTTGCATATGAATAGAAGCGCTGTGATAGATCAATGTTGATGTTTCTTACTTCGAGAATCAATGATGGGAAGGTGAAATGGTGAGTAGAAGTTCGTATTTCTCGTGATCCCGTGATGTCGATCTATGAACGAGACGGAGTATGGTACCATGTATGGTAACGCTACAGAGTCACGGCTACTTAGCATTGCATGTCGCGAATTATGAAGTCAGAAGTACCATCTACACGATCGTTAGGGAGGGCAATACCCATATGGAGGACGTAAAACAGGTAAATGAGCCCTATTTTTCATACTACATATCCACGATATCACGGCGCTATGCTTCCCAGGGAATAAGAACTTATCTCTAAGACAGTAAGAGGGACCTTGAGTCTGCTGGAGAATTCAAGCTATGGTTAGGGAGACCACTCGGCCAGCCTTACGATCCCATCACCGAAACACCTGGTACTCTCAAAGCAGGCCAACGCTGCAGGCACATAACTGGTCGGATTCCAAGAACGAGTGAGACATCCAGAACATGGAACATGCCTTCGGAGCGCTTACCGACCAACGTGGTAAATGTGCCTCTGGCGAGCAACACGTGGTAGCAGCAAGATGCGACGACATCGGGGATTTTCCCGAAAAGGGAGTTCGACGTCTGGCGAGGATATGTCTTGGCTGTCAAGTGGTGCAATCACGACTCCAATTCCTGCGCGGACTAGCCAAGCATCGGGCATTTAGCCACGGGAAACCCAAGTGCCATTCGCTAGCAAATCCGATCTTGTGATATGCCAAGACTTGAATCCTACCTCATGCGATGAGCTGGGGTCGGATCCCACGGCATAATGAGACACCGAGGGTTCAGCATTGGACGCTTCAGGTCCGTGCCACGGGGGTTTCAATTTTTAGTCATCGGACAGGTCATGTCCGAGTCATAACTGGTATCATCCTTGCTGATCTTAATTCTTTTTGTTGTGTCAGACGGTGCACGCGAACTAATTTCCGGGGCTTGAGCTATAGATGTCGACCGTCCCCAGTCTTACGGATAGATGTAACAGGTTGTATTGTTACCAGAAGCGATGTAAGTGACCGGTAAAGGGCATCCACAGCGCTTACCTTTCAACACTGGTCCCTTCAATAACAGACCAACACAGCATATGCGATCTAAGTCCGTTTGTTAGTCGACAGAGAATAGATGAAAAGTGGACACAGAGCTGAGCCGTGCTGTTTGGAGGTGCTGTTTCCCACCCACCACTGTCAGCATTTACCTTTCTAGCTGATATAGTGGGTTTATAGAGATTTATGGACAGATAGTCTTTCTCTATCCTGACCATACATAGACTTACTAAGATGTTGCACTGTGAGGCTTGTTCTCTGTACTTCAGCCTGAGATGTGGGTTGCACGACTTTACAAGTAGGAATCCAGTGGGGAGCCGCAGTAGGGTACACGGTATCCTATGTAGGGAATAAGGAAAGGGAGTGATGCTCAACTCCTGCAGGAACTCCCAAATCAACGGAGCCGGGAGGGGCGTTGAGGTGGCACCAGTCCGCCTCGTGACAAGACCATACAGGATACTGGGCGACGCCAGTGTAAATTACCGTCATGGGAACTAGTTGGCAGGTAAACTTCTGGGGTTCCCCGAGATGCGGGGAAGAATAGGAGATTCCCTGCTTCTCTGCCCGCGTTTCCCCTTCATCTCCAGCTTTCACCATTCACCTATGCTATGTTTTCAAAACGCCATGCATCTGTCGTTGGCGACAATGAAAAAAAGCTTCACCTTAGCCAGGTCACTGCTTGGCCTGGCCTCCCTCTGCCCTGCTCGGGTCCTTGCGCCTCCTCCGACATCATCGTCAACAAGCTTCTTCCATGTGGCTGACCCTTGGCGCATCTTACTGGTGCCCATCTCCTCCAGTGGGATTTAAGTGGTGATCCAAGTGGAGCTATCAGGGAGAGACCAAGCCGTGGCTTTTACTCGTCCGTTCAGCTTCTCATACTTTCTCGCGAATCCTTCCATTGATCCCTGCTGACACCCATCGACTCTCCTCCAGGGTTGGTCCTTGCAAATTAGCCCAACCTGCCGCTAAACCTTTCTGTCTTCCCACACAGGGTTTCAAGCCGTGCGTGGACGGGGATCTTGATCCCTTTCATGCCTTGAGCTAGGTTCGTCGGATCATCACTGGACTTCGCCCTCCAATCATCGATTCGTTACTTCCGCCACGAGACACGCCGATGGGCTGGCTGGGGTGATGGGTGGCCCGACCACATACAACGGTACCTTCCTGACCGGTGGCACGATTGGTCCAATCCCCAACTCTAGATGCAGCTCTGACCAGACAATTTTCCGCCCATGATGCGGGGTTCGCTCTTTACCCCCGGAGATGACTCGCGGCTGACGCATGGATGAGTCGGTAGTATATATTAAGCTACCACCACTCTTCCCAGCGTTGCGACTCTCTCTTTCCCCTTCTTTTCCCGGAGCAGCCAAGTCTCGTTGTTGATCAACAGCCGCAATCATGTTGATCGGCAACATCTACGTGATTGCGAGCGTCGCCGTCGTCGGCGGCGGCTTGTTTGGCTTTGATATCTCCTCCATGTCCGCTCAGCTGAGCGAAAATTCCTATCTATGCTATTTCAACCAGGGCCCTAAGGGACCCCCCTTTACTGACGATGAGGACTGTTCCGGTCCCACATCCCTCAACCAAGGTGGCATCACGGCCGCCATGGCAGCTGGATCTTGGCTGGGTGCCTTGATTTCAGGTCCGCTTTCTGACCGCATTGGACGCAAGACGTCCATCATGGTCGGCTGCATCGTTTGGTAGGTCAGGCTCCGAGGCCAGCGATGATGGTTGCTAACCCTACCGCAATATCTAGGCTAATCGGCTCCACTATTATGTGCGCTTCTCAGAACATTGGCATGCTGGTTGTTGGGCGGGTCATCAACGGTCTCGCTGTGGGCATAGAATCTGCTCAGGTCCCTGTCTACATCAGTGAACTTTCGCCACCCTCCAAGCGTGGCCGGTTTGTAGGCATGCAGCAATGGGCCATTACATGGGGTATCCTCATCATGTTCTAGTGAGTGAACTCGTTACGATATATCGTGGGCCAAACTAATAGCGACAGTATCTCGTACGGCTGCTCCTTCATCGGGGGACAGAAGTCCTACAACTACAGCACTGCTTCTTGGCGGGTCCCCTGGGGTCTGCAGATGCTGCCGGCTGTTTTCCTTTTCCTTGGCATGTTGGTCCTGCCCGAGTCTCCTCGCTGGTTGGCGCGCAAGGATCGTTGGGAGGACTGCCACCGGGTCTTGGCTCTCGTCCACGCCAAGGGAGATCTCAGCCATCCTTTCGTTGCGCTAGAGCTGCAGGATATCCGGGACATGTGTGAGCTTGAACGTCAGTTCAAAGATGTCACTTACCTTGACCTGTTCAAGCCGCGGATGATCAATCGCACAATGATCGGTCTTTTCATGCAGATCTGGTCTCAGCTGACCGGCATGAATGTAATGAGTATGTCTTCCTGTCCCCGTCCAGTCCCTTATTGGAACAGTGAACTAACGAGGGGTTTACTTTGACAGTGTACTACATCACCTACCTTTTCTCCATGGCGGGGTACACCGGTGACTCCACCCTCCTTGCCTCCTCCATTCAGTATATTATCAATGTGTTTATGACCCTCCCGGCACTGATTTGGATGGACAAATGGGGGCGTCGCACGCCATTGCTGGTTGGCGCAGCTCTGATGGCCATCTTGATGTACGCCAACGGTGCAATCATGGCGGTTCATGGTACTGTGGTGCCTGGGGGCATCAACGGTGTTGCGGCCGAGTCGATGCGTCTTCACGGCGCTCCGGCCAAAGGTCTGATTGCTTGCACATACCTCTTCGTCGCCTCGTATGCACCTACCTGGGGTCCTGTGTCCTGGACCTATCCCCCTGAGTTGTATCCGCTCCGGTTGCGTGGTAAGGGAGTGGCTTTGTCGACCTCCGGTAACTGGGCGTTTAACACTGCATTGGGGCTGTTTACACCGACGGCGTTCGAAAATATCCGCTGGAAGACCTACATCATGTTTGGAGTGTTCAACACTGCAATGTTCATACACGTGTTATTCCTTTTCCCGGAGACGGCCGGCAAGACGCTCGAAGAGACGGAAGCGATGTTTGAGGACCCCAACGGCATTAAGTACATTGGAACACCGGCCTGGAAGACCAAGATGAAGACGCGGCAGTTGGAGCAGTTGGAGCACGGTCAAATGGATGTGGAATCGAAGATTGAAGCCCGCCACGCAGAGACCACGGAGACTGCCCCCAAGTCGCAGGAGGCGACAGCATAATGTGCAGCGGAAGTATATGCAAGTGAGACCGTGAGGTGTATGTAATGTGTGTGTTTATTGGATGGATACCCTAGGAGTGATGGGATAAATTGTTTGCAAGACCAGAGTAATGGATTGAGGCTACGGGAGGGAGAATAATGGCAGCGTGAACAGGCCTGCTAATAGAGGGGCGTAGTATCGTAGTAATATGCTGTATGCAAATGCCTGTTTTAATTAAATGCTTTGCAGAGTCTAATAATTTCATCTAACACCACTACTGTGTATTCACCATCCTTAAAGAAACCTAAGAATAGACGACAACGCAAGCACAATAGCACGTGACCATCCCTGGAATGTCCCTCCGACACTCAAATTCCACAACTCAACCAATGTAACCTGACAATAAGTACCAGATTGGTTAATGACCGACAAATAAATCCCAGCAGGTATGTGGTGGTGTATATAATTACACCTTAATTGAGACCATACTGATGTTCCATACTTAGTTACCCTCCACAGCCTCCAACTATCTACCTTAGTACTTAGTGCCGCCCATGTTCACCTCCTCATTGGGTGGGGCGCGAACGCGTCTACTAAAAGTACCACTACGACGCGTGCCCACAACATCATCACCAATCCGGCACCACCAACACTACTACTTCTTAGTCCCACGGAACTCGAACCATGCTTACTCGACATCCACATCCACATCCACACCATCATCGAATACGATTAGAACCATCGCACTAGTCAGTGCGATTAGCGCGCCTGCATTATGGTGGCTCAGCACTAACACCAACAGCAACACAAACACCAACACTAGTAGTAATAGGGATATTACTACTACTAGCCACAACAATGACAATAT